CCGTCCCCCACTCAAACCCCACCCTTTTGACCTCTGCAAATGGGATGAGCCTGAGCAGGAGAAGTTGGTGATGTCAGGACTGCGCCGTTCCCACGGATGCTCCTAGAGGCCTGCTGTGCTTCTGGGAACTGAGGCACAGGGATGTCTGTCTGACTGAAACCTAAAACAACAACAGTTCACCCACCCCTCATGTTTCCCAAACCCCAAAGAGCAGCCAGGTAAAAATACTATATAAGGTCCACCTAGTTAGTCTGAGTAGATAAACTCAATATTCCTTACAAGTGGGCAGTATTTAATGGGGCATCAAAATGGAGGTTGTTTAAACTCTCCACAACCCTGTGCAGGGTAAACACTCTACTGGTGGCCATTCTCATGGGCCAGAGAACAAAAGTCTCCTGAAGTCCTTCTCAGAACATGTCCCTGCAGGATTCCTGGACAAGTAAAATTCAGTTCAGTTCAACAGGTAATTATTTAAGAAGCCAGAGGATGTCCCTACCTCATTTGTCAACTGAAGCACAGAATAGGCTAATGATTTATAGTCATGCCTCTCTACGTATAGAGAGAGCACTGAGGCCAGGGTTTTATTCATTAATCAGTGGTCTGTTGAATGTATACATTCTTTGTGTAGAACATTACAAGCTATCAGATAAAATTATGCAAAAAAATATATAGGGAAGGTGCTAGCTAGTTACTATTTCTGAAACCCTTTGGGGAAGAGAGATTACTTCCCCAAATGTAAAATGTAAAACTAGCTTTCAGAGTGAAGACCTTAGAAAGGACAGGAAAGGAGTAGACAGTAAGCAAACTTGGAGAGACATAAAGGAAAGAGCTAACTAACAGAAGACTACCAAACTGTACAAACTATATTTCCATTTCTGCCACTAACCTTGTTTTATGACCCTGGCTAATCTGGTTAACCATGCTGTGCTTCAGAAATAGTCCCATGTATGTTCAAATCTATAACATATACTCTCTAGAACATGATAGTCTTCAGCTATTCACATGTATCTGTTAGAACTACTTTATCAGAAAGGCTATAGTGGTCACTTCTAAAGTGACTAAGATGCTCTATTGGTTTCACAAGCCCCTTGCACACCATTAAAGCCAACTGAACACTGTTTGCTTTAAACCACACACATGTATATATATAGATATATATAAAACCTAGGACCTAATTTACTTTATACAACTCTAGTTTTTCCATACCTGTCAACTCCTAATTGATGTCTTTAAATTGTGAGCTCACTGTGTATTCCGAACACCAACCCCTGAAAAAGCTTAAGCCAGAGTAGCACAATGGAAGAGACAAACAAACCCACAACAAAACAAAGCCAAGGTCACACTCTGTAAACTTAATTATAGACATATATGCAAGGAATGGAGCATCTAAATGGCTAAACAAAACCCCAAGTGCTGAGTTCATCCCAATGGATGCAAACTTTATCCCACAAACTCTCCTTTAAATTACTTGCTACCATATTTATGCATTATTTGTTTAAAAGAAACAAGTTATGATAAACTCGTTCATATTTACCTTTAAAGAGTTATAGAAAGAAAACGTAACAAAATAAAACAAAACAGTAAAATGTTAGCCTTCTGATGGAAATAAAGGAGACTCCAATTACCTTCCAGCAGGCTGGGCTGTGCCTGGTCCAAGCCGCTGCCCTTAGCACCCACTGCACAGCTGCTTTACTGGGGGAGGGGAAGTTTAGAAGGGCACTGACCCCAAAGCTCTCAAAACTCCTCACTCATCATCAGGAGGGGGGAAGAAGGGAAGTATTTTTTGTTTGTTTGTATTTGTATATTTTGGCTCCTGAAAAGGCTGGCAAAGAACAGTAACAGTGCAAGCAATTAGAATATTTCTTCAAAAACAATTTTAAACATGTAAAACATTAAGGAATTTTTAGAAACCAAATTTTGGTTAACACAGAAGAAAATTTCACTAGAGTTAGGCAGCAGCCTGAGAAGGCATGATAAAGTGCACTGGGATTAAGGAAATAAAATACCACACAAACCCCAAAATAAAATGAAAACATTTCAAATCTAATCTGGAAGACTATATGATTCCAATAGCAGACTTCTGTCCATCACTAAAACATTCCAAATCCAAGGTACCTAGATTGTACTTTAAATGAAACTTTTTCTTTCTTTCGAAGAAACAAAAGAAATCAGTGAACCTGGTTATAAATCCTATGATATATTACATTTTTAAAAATCATAGCACAACAAAAGTAAAACTTAAATAAAACTGAACAAACAGACAAACAAATAGCAGCAGAGGTTACCTGTCTGAGCACCTACATTTTCTTAGGAGGGGAGCGTGTCTCACCAGCCAAATAGCCCATAAACCTTCTCAAAAACAGCGAACCAGGAGAAAAATATAACATAAGATTTGATTTCACAATGTCTCTAATACCCCCCAACCCCAAGCTGGGGGTTCACTGAGAAGAGATTTGCTTTTCCATTGTTTTCTTCTTGATAAAAAGATGATTGATAGTCAATGGCCTTTTCCAATGCCTTCGGTGCTTTTCATAAAGTCTGATAAAGTGCTTGATGAAACCAAGTCTCTTGATGGATTGTTTTCTAACGTTCCAGGGTAGTTTCTTATTGATAACATAAAGAAAGATTTCAAAGTTCATTGGCAAAAAGCTAACAGAAGTGATAATTTTAAGTATTAAAAGAAAAAAATACTTACTAGATAGAAATTTTAAGTGGCATAGTTCATATGTATAGATCTAGAGTCCAATTTTCATCACAGATAACATAAAATCAGAATTATTAAAAATACAATTAACAATTACAATTTTAACAACATATAAAAAGTTTACAATAATTCAGATTTTTGGCATTATTACATAGATTTGATTAAAAAACATTTTATCTCATAGATGAAGATTATACAAATTATGAAAACAATTATGAGAATAAGTCAACTATCACTTGTTTCCTTTGAGTTCTTCCAGAATGATTTGTTCTTCACCTTAATTGAGAGAATTCAAGTTGACCAGCCCTGTTATTCACTCTAGTGCATGAGTGCAGTGCCCAGAAGGTGGTTGGTGAAGACCTGCGTTTCAACTATGGGTGATGCGCGGAGGCTGCATCAACAGGGAGTGGGGCTGCCAGTGCGGATTAGTGCTTGGTTTAGAGTGGGTAACTATCATTTTCCTGTCTCTTTATCCCACCATAACAAAATTAATTCTTCAAATGAAGATGTCTGTTTGTTTTTAAATACATGGACTTACATGTGTATCCTAATGTGTGTGGCAACCAGATAATCTATTTTAGGATCTGATTACACGACTGTTCATTTATTTCTCTATACCAAACAGTATGCACCCTCCAAAATATGATCATTCAGCAAAGTACCAAGTACTTTTATTCTGTTAGTGAATCAGATTTATTATGACTCCCAATGACCCTGTGCCAATCAAACTGTGCAGATGCAATTAGAGTATCCTAAAGATAAATGAGAACTCCTTATGTATCTTTTCTGAAATGAAACAGTAACAGGTACTATTCTATTTGTCAACAATCGACCTTTTACTCCATTTTAATATTATTTAATTCTATGGGGGGGGAACCAAGTTTTATTATATTCCTTTGTAAAATGGGGAAAAACTGTACAGTTAATCATGATCAAACCTCTGTTAGAGCTGGATAATACTCATGTTTTATTATCACCTTCAAGTCTCTAAGTAGTGTCCAAGAAATTATGTTAAGGTCCATCTGAAGGAAAACAACACTGGAGAGGCAAAGAAAAGCTTGGAGAAGCTGCAGAAAATTTGTAGGGAGATGGAGCTTGCTGTTTAAAAATGTATGTTGAGCCCCGTAGCATCTCCATGTCTTAACACATCTTCCAGACTCAATCACTGGAATAGCTTTATCCTTGTCTTAAAGGCTCATGTTATATGCAGGTTGGGGGTTTCATCAATTCATCAATTCAGAAAAGGAATATATAGTGGTCAGTACTGAAGTCTTAAGAATAGGGCTATATGAGACTTGATATGTTAAATAAATCCCAATTAAAACATCCAAGTCCACCTCCCTCTAAGTCTTAAGTGTATAAAGAGAAAATGTACAACCATAACATTAAATAAGAGCATGTAGCCTTGAATAAATCATACACCAAACAGTCTACAAATAAACAAACAACAACAACAACACACACACACACACATAAGCCTAAGAAACATCTACTTTCCTACTGTCTTTAGGGGAGTATCTCTACACTATCTGTATCTAAAGCAATTCAATTCTTTTGTTTTAAGGTAAACTGTTCCCATCATGCCATTCTCTAGAATCTATTCTTTCTGTATGGTGTAAACAAAAAATAAAACACATACATTTTCATGCAACAGATATATATATACATATATATATATCCTCCTAAAATGTCAAAAATGCAAATACAAAAAATAGCATTAAGAAATCATTTCAGCTTTATGACTTTTACTTGCCTCCCCAAAATGATGTCCCTGTACTTATCCTTGAAATGTTCAACTCATCAAGAGAAAAGGTGGGCACAGAGACTTTTAAATGTGTATGTTGAGTCAGTGTTAACCAAAAAGAGTAGCATTGTGTTTACTTTGGCCATTGTTAAAGATGAAGTCATAGAGCAAAGGTGTTACCAGCATGTATTAAAAATGCAACATTAACAGCATATCTTTCAAAAAAGACTAAAACACTAACAAATACAAGTCAATGCACAAACTTTAACTAGTGTAATTTTATCTACATTGAGTAAATGTTACTTTGTATACCAGACATTGCAATACTGTTCATTTCCCTTTCATCATGCAAACATGCCAATTTTGTTATTAAAAATCTTTATTGGATTATAGTCACATTACCCTCCCACCCAAATTAAGGAAAAAAAAAAAAAAAACAAGGACAAACATGAAGATAAGAAATCCAGGTCAGAGCCCCTTAAGAGTTCATAAACAACTATGTGCATTTAAATGCTAGCTGAGAGAAACGGCAGAGGCAGAAGAATTTTCAGATTGATATTAAAACATTTCTGTATTTTAAGCAGATGTTTCCTCTTGAACCTTTGTGAAGTCATGCTACTAACCATTCTACATAAAAAGAAAAGCTGGAGACCATGGAAAAAGAAACTTTCATGTTCCTCATGGCCTAAGAGCAGGATTTTAGTAACTGAGCAGGTTAGCAAGAGAGCCTGCCATTTCTCTGCACACCACCTATTCTTGCTCTCCAAGAATCTGTAAATGAGTCAGGCAAGGGTTACTATCAGAGCTCTCATCTATTTTCCCTTCTAACCAATCTTACTATACTTTTCTCTCAACCTCCTGAGCATTCTCCATGAACAGCATTGCAAGTTGGTTAAAGAGAAACGGGGATGGGGTGAGGGGAGACAGTTTTACAGGGGTGTTGTTGGTTAATTATTTACCGGTGGACTCACTCCACCAGGAGTTTGATTTCATTGGCTAGCAGCTGGTTCATGTTGAACAGGCCCCCTGGGAGCTTGGTGAGCAGCTCTCGCTCGGTGGTGCTTTCAGGGTCGCTATCGACAGAGCTGGAACTTGCGCTCATGTTGTCGACAGCAGTGCTGGCAGGGGGACCGAGCTCCGGCTCACTAGTCTCACTGGCCGTGGACACCACAGAAAGCAGGGACATGCGCCGGGTGAGCCGGCCAGCGGGCAGAAGGGAGGCAGCATAGTCTGCTATGATACCAGCTACATCTAGATTACAAGCCTTATCAAAGGCGATGAAACCTACATTTGCATTGGCCTCGCAGACACAAAAGGAGCCATCATCTTTCATCAACAGGTCGATGCCACAGATATCCATCCCTAGGATATTAGACACCTGGATAGCTAGCTGCTTCCCTTGTTCACTCAGTGAGCACATCATCCCCACGCCACCTGGCAAATAAAAGAGGTAGAAAGTTATCAACTTTTATAGTAGAATTAATCAGCCCTCTTCTAAACTCGAAGCAATGCTAGTAGTGTAAAACTGGTTTTTGTTTTGTCCTATTAAGACTAAATCATAATTATTTAGTCCACACTGCCTCACACTCATGGTCTTTTGCCTCAGCCTCCTGAGTGCTGGCACTATATATAGGCATCCACTACTAAACCTGCCAGAACATAGACCGAGAAAAGTGAGAAAGAACTTCTGAGACAAAGTCTTAGAAAGACATTCAACTTTCCTTAAGGTCTATCCTGCCTATGATAACATGGACCAAACAGTGTCCCTCAGTATCACAAGGGTTTCCACAACCTCCCATCCCCACCACAGATACCAAAGTCTACAAAGACTTGTTAGAGTTTGTAGTGCCTACTACAACCTGCCCTACTACACCCTGCTGCATATTTTAAATCAACTCTCAAGTACAACCCTTGATACAATAGAAACACCCAAGAGCTGACAAATGTTACTGCTTAGAACAATGGTAACATATGCTCAATAAAGAGGGCAACATTGTAAGCTCAACATCCCAGTCCATACATTCAACTCAAACTGCCAGGAGAGGATGAGGGTCTCAGGAGACTAAAGCGGAGAAGAACTATGGATTGATTCCCTCCAATTTAGCACAGTGTTAGGTCTCTGCAAAGTTCTGCTTTCAGGAAGCTTTAGGAATCAATACACACACACACACACACACACACACACACACACACACACACAGAGCTCTAGTCACCAACTCTGGATTGTTTATTGTTTTGGTTTTGTATTTTAAGTCCTCAGTTGAATCATTTTAATCCAAAAATATGATAGAATGTGTTTAAAATGTTTGTATAAATATAATTAGACCATCTGATTTTTTTTAAAAAATAATTTACTTATTTTTATTTCATGCACATTTGTGTTTTGCCCCCATATATTGTCTCTGAAGGTGTTGGATTCCCTGAAACTGGAGTTACAGGCAGTCCTGAGCTGCCATGTGGGTGCTGGGAAAATGAACCCAGGTCCTCTGAAAGAGCACCCAATATTCTTAACCACCGAGCCATCTCTCCAATCCACCAGCTGATTTTATATATAACAAGTGGAGAAGCCCAGCGAATTAGTGAGTTTGAGGCAGCCTGGTTTACAAAGCAAGTTCCACAATAGCCAATGCTACATAGTGAGACTTAATACAGCCATAAAATAGGAACAAAGAAAAGATGGTGTACGTACTGGGAATATGGCAATCTAAACATGACACTATTTCTCTATGGGTTACTCCTAAGAAAAAAGGCTTCTCAGTTTTTACACCACTAGCCAAACATACAGATAAGCTTAAGCTTTGCTAGTATAGAGTGAGAGTAAGGAAACATAATAGCATCTCACTTGGAGACTAGCTTCAAGAAGACTAGAAAGCACAGAAGCCTGACAAGACTTGGTGCAGTTGCTCTGAACATCCACAAGAATGTCATACATAATGGCCAAAGTAGACAGACAAATGAAGATAAATAAGTCCTTTATTATTACCCAGAGGTTGGAAAGGTAAGAAGAGTCCAGGAACCAGTATGGTTTGCCAGTACCTGGAGGGTTAAAGCAATTTGAAATGCTCCAAAAAACAATAAATTTGAATAAGCTCAAGTATGGCAAGATAAAGATAAATACCCAATACAAGAAAGAATGCTCTAAAGAAATTGAAGTTCAGCAACAACAAAAAGGTTGTGGGGTATTTTGCCTTTCAAGACAAGGTTTCTGACTGTCCTGGAACTCAGATCCACCTGCCTCTGGAGTGCTAGGATTAAAGGCTTGCACTACCATTGCCCAACCAAAAAAGAGATTTTCTGAAGCTAAAACAAAATGATTAGCAACTCAACATTCAACAGAGGAAATGAAGGACAATCGGCACAGTGCCTGGACCTGAATCTACTGCTGTTTCAGCCAGTAATTACTGAAAAGTGGCTCTGCGGTCACTTTTATGTCCCACCAGATCTGCCTCCTGTTGTTGCCACCACATTATCAATAAGGCTCAGGGGTCAGGGGATGGGATGAAAACCTGCTAGCTCACAGAGGCTGAGGAGCAACTGTCTGACGTTCCCTCTTCACTGGTGTCTCAGAACGCCATCCTTCCACTCCACCCAAACCAAACAAGACTGCCCCACTCTAAGTCCCTCCCTACTACTTCTTGTGCATCTCTTTATCCATCTTTCCAGACCCTGCTCTGGCTCTCTGATTTCTTTCTGTCAACTAATTGCTAGCTCCTCCTCCTCCTGACCCAAGGCTGATTTTATTTAATTAATGCAAATGCAAACTTGGGTTCACAGTGTGATTGAATATCCTTCAACTTAACAGTTATTTGTAAAAGTTTGCTCAAAGAATGAGGGTATGGTAAAAGGCAGTTGAGAGGCTGAGGCAAGAGTAGAGTTCAGGATCAGTCTAGGCTACCCAGTAAGTTCAAGGCCAGCCTGGACTATACAATTAAGATCCTGTCTCAAAACAGAAAGTAGGAAATCTGGGAATTGAATCAGAAAATAAAATAAATCTTCCAGAAGGAAATAAGTAGATGGAGGAGAGGAGATAATAAAGAGAGAAATGGGGAGGGGACACTGGAGAGATGGCTCAGCAGTTGGGAGCACTGACTGCTCTTACACATGCACCCACATGGTAGCTCACAACTGCATTTTATTTTCTTTTCTTTTCTTTTTTTTTTAATTTGTTTTATATAACAAAGTCCATTTAAATGAAAACAAACATTTATAGACAGTATTGTGGGCGTTGTTCTTTCCAAACTACTTCCTGCTGGTAAGGGGCACTGTCATGGGGGATTCGAAGAAGATTCAGAAATCCTGGCTGTAGTCTGTAAGGCTGCTTTGTCCAGCTGTCACAAGTGCATTTTCAAGCCTCTGTGGGCACATGGTGCACAGATAAAACATATAATATACATAGCCAGGTGGTGATGGTGTACACATTTAATCCCAGAACTTTGAAGGCAAAGGCAGATGAATGTCTGTGATGTAAGGCTAGCCTTGTCAAAGAGTGAGTTCCAGGGCTACACAGAAAAGCCCTGTCTTGAAAAACCAAATCAAACAAGCAAAAAATAAAAACAAAAAACAATCACTTTATAACAAAAAACAGTAAATTTCTAGAACTTGTAGACAGTTTTTTTGGTTTTTAGAGACAGGGTTCCTCTGTATTGCTTTGGAGGCTGTCCTAGAACTAGCTCTGTAGACCAGGCTGGCTTTGAACTCAACTCAGAGATCCACCTGCCTCTGCCTCCCAGTGCTAGGACTAAAAATGCCAGCAATGCCTGTCATAGACAGCTTCCTAAAATCCAAGTTAACAGTGGGAATGATAGCCAAGTATGGGATCAGTCACAGGCCGTTAATCCTAGCACTGGATGATGTGGCAAGGGCCACTTTGGTGACTCAGTAATTAAAAGCACTTGTTCCTGCAGAGGTCCTAAGGTAACAAGGGGACCAATGAAAGAAGAGATAGAGGCAAGGAAAGCAAAAGTGGCTGTGTATGAGTAATATGCTAAACATATAATATACATAAGCATGAAAAGCTTAAATAGAAATAAAAATGTTATCACAAAAAAATAAATTCATAATCAATGAAATCTGATTCACTAAGGAGAAAACTAAGAATGCTGGTGGGAGCACAGTTTCCATGTGGGAAGCACGCTCACTTTATATACCAACACAAAGATGCTGCATTGTCTTTACCTAGTGAACAATTGCTCTGCATTCTTCCATCTGTGGAACAACGTAACATGGTGCCAACAACACGACCTCCCACAACAATGACTCGTACATCCCTTCCGTGAGACTCTTTTATGTATTTCTGAAAAAGATATGGAGCTTCATGTCGAATAAGATGGCTTAGATCAGCTAAATGGTGTTTATCTCGGGCCAAGAAAACAGCTTTGCCTATAATTTAAAAAGAAAAATAAACAATACATACAAGTCATGAAACTGTAGATGGTGATAAATATACATTCTTGAATCCCAATATACTCTTTTAGAACCAATTATACTTATATATATTTAGAGTATTCTTTGTTGTAACTATTGATTAAAGTGATTTAGTTATGATTAGTAAGATAATACAAAAAACATATGGGGTCAAACTTAATCACCTATTATTTCCCCCAAAAAAATTTTTATGGCTAATTATTCCATTTGGGTTTATGAGGAAGAGGACCTACATTGTATTTCCCCAAAGGTTAGGCCATGTTAACCTCATTCGTAGCAAACCCCTTTCCTCTGAGTTAAAATAGAGATAAATTATTAATGTTAATGTTCTATTATCACAACACAGTAACATAGTGACATCATAGACTTAAATTTGTTTCTGAATTCTTCAATCTGTCCCCTTGCTTTATTTATTTTTATTCTAATGGTGGTATGTCTTTTTTAAAATAATTTATTTTTATTTAATGGTCACTGGTATGAAAGTGTCACATCCCCTGGAACTGGAGTTACAGTTGTGAACTGCCATGTGGGTGCTGGGAATTGAACCCAGGTCTCTTTTTGTTGCCTTCTAACACTAAGTCACAGGAGGTTATGCAGCTTGTTTGTTTAGTGAGCATTCACTATAGGAGAATGCCAGATCCTTAGCTATCATATTAGAGAAGCCAAATAAACAAAAAAAGTCAATGGCTCTAGATGAATTTTGATCCATATGTCCCAGTCAAAGTATTACATGTGTCTTATCCTTGGATTATTATATTCTCTGATAAAAATTTCTTTAGAAGGGCCTATCACAGCAACAGGAATTGGAGTGACTCAGGAGTGGCTACAAATGCAATGGCTAGGAAGCATTCTGGCTAGAAAGAGATGGCTGTCCTATTTTTGGAAAACAAGAGTAGAAAGGTACTACAAATACTACAACAGTAATGGATATTTGATAAGTTATGTGTATGGAGAGAATGGCCAACAACTGGGGTCAGTAGAAAGACAATGTAGGATATATATAAAATGGTTCATAGCTAACACTTTTGGCATAGACATCTAAGGTAACAAACCTTAGTTTAGCCAATCCACTACGGCAGTCTCTTATCACAGTACAAATTTCTGAAAACTGTTCTTCAAAGAGAATTAAGAATAGATATATTCTTATGCTGATAAATATGCTGATAAATACTGGGAAAAGACTAGACAGAGACCCAGCAAAATAACATCCTCTCAAAAGGATGAGTAAAGAAAGACGTATTGTTTGCCAGGTAGTGGTGGCGCATACTTTTATTCTCAAGACTGGGTGGCAGACTGTGGCAGATCTCCAAGTTTGAGGCTAGCCTGGTCTATATATTGAGTTCTAGTTCAGCCAGAGCTACACAGACAAACCATGGGAAGGAAGGAGGGAGGGATTACAGATAAATGAACACTGAGCCAGAGGGTAAAAATGCACAAAAACATTATCCTGACTTTGGATGCTGGGGTGAAGAATTTATCACAGTACTGGGAAAATGAGTAACTGGTACCAAGTGTTTGCTCATTGCTATGACTGCAAATGTAGGAAGATACATACTAGAGATAAGTTTACTATGTCAGCTCTAGGAACTCAAAAGCAGATTATGTTCATGAGGTTTTTAATAGCAATGAGGACTACTGGGAACTGGAATATGCTGATAACCAATAGACATGTCAGAGGAACAGCAGGTGGCAATTAATATCCAGCCATTCAACTCTCTGATTGGAATGTCTCATTCAAATGAGGCTTATGAGAATACAGACACAAGAATGTCTTTTGCTTATGCTGTGGTTTCACATTGTTGCTGTTACATGCTCTTCTCTGTTATCTGCTATGATGCAGTTATATGTGAGGAGTCCCCCACTACCTGTATTGTAGTGTTTATCTCATGATTACATCTTGATCTACTAGACATATTTATATCTGGAGATTGCAGGGAAATGCTGTATAATTTGACACAGTCAGGGCCTATTGAGTTCCACTAATAAGCTGCTTTAATCACAGCTCAAATGTTTTATTAACCAGGAGCCAGACTGGCTCAAATTCCTTTAATCTTTATGCTAAAATATAATATCACAGGTTTCTTGTATACCATTAAGTGATACTAGCTTCAAAGTAGCTTTAAATTAGACCATGTGCCTTACTAATAGTTTTTAAGATAAACTATTTTTTAGGAAAAGCAGCCCAGTTCAAAAGGACAGATTACCCAGAATTCTGATTTGTTGAACCAAGGTTAAAGGTGCAAAGCAACCTAATTGCTAATGCTAGTCCTATGCTAGTCTTTCTTGTTAGGTTTGGCTGATGACCCAGGACAATGAATGATTAATTCTGCACAAACTCCTAACCTTGGTTTTGATATGGTTTTGAAGACTCAAAGTTCAGCCAATTAAGTTTCCTAGAAAGCATATTTTAATATTTAAAATGTGAGGCTATAGAGAGATGGCTCAGAGATTAAGAGCACTGGCTGTTCTTCTAGAGGTCATGAGTTCAATTCCCAGCAACCACCTGGTGGCTCACAACCATCTGAAATGAGATCTAGTGCCTCTTCTAACCTGCAGGCACACATGCAAGCAGAACACTGTATACATAATAAATAATCTTTAAAAAAAAAGAATGACTTTCTCTTAAAAAAAAAAAAGATTTAAAATGCTTTTAATTCACTGTGCCTTGGAGAGTGCTGAATGAGTTCATATAGTAAGGAAACTAAGGGACTAGACTATGTATTGTTGAAGTGAAGCACTAAACTTGAGAATTAGTCATGCATGTTACATCTCTACTATAACCTCTAAGCAGAAACACTATCTCACCAAGGTGACTTATAGAAATCTTCTGCAAGTTTGTGGTCTCAAACACTTGTTGGTTGTTAGTTTGCAAAAGCAATTTCAAAGCTATGTACCATATCCACGTACGTACCTCTGTGACCCCGTGTATTCTTTACTACCATTGGGAACTCCAGCACTTCTGCTTCATCAATCATTTTAGCAAAGTTTTCATGGCCACCTGGTTTGAGGAAAATGTAAATGTAAGACTAGTGGCAAAAGTATGCTGGGACCAATCTTAAGCACAGGACAAGTGAGGTGGAAGTAAGAGATCGATGGCAATTTCTGTTTATCTTTAAGAAATTATGTGTAACTGACAATCCATTGAAAACAGCACCTTTAGGTGCCAACAAGATGGCTAGGTAGTTAAAAGCACTGGCTACTCTTCATGATGACCAAGTTCAATTCCCAGTACCCACAAGGCAGCTCTCAACTGAGAGAGGGAGAGAGAGAGAGAGAGACAGAGATTGAGTGTTTAATTGATTGATTATCTGTAGGGTACATGATTTCAGGTGTCACTTCTGACCACTTCTGAAATAGGGATTTAGTTTCTTCTATTTGTGGCTACCTGTCTTTTCTCCAATGCATGTTCCTGGACATTCTTTCTGTTGAGAATCAGATGGCTGTAGCTAAATGAGTCCTCTTTTAGTGTCAGTGCTTCTGTTTGTAACACTGGGGATTTAACCAACCCTCTTTTTCTTTTTTACTCTAAAAAAAGTTTCACTAAGTTGCCAAAGCTGGCCTGAACGCACTCTGCAGTCCAAGCTGTGCTTCAACATGTGAATCCCTTCCCCACCTCCTTCTTGTGTAGCTGGGTTACTGACCCATCCCACGAGTTCAGCATGGTTTTGATCTTTTGTTTTGTTGGTTATTGGAGACTAGGTTTCTCTGTGTGGCTCTGCCTGTCCTGAACTTGTTATGCAGACCAGGCTGTTCTGGAACTCTCAGAGATCTGCCTGCCTCTGACTCCCAAATGTTGGGATTAAAGGTGTGCACCACCACTGCCTGGCTAATCTTACTTGCTTCTTATTGTCTTCACTGCTCAGGAAAAAAAGGACAGCAGCAAGAAAAAATGGTCTGTAATTATAAAAAGAGTAAGTATGACAATAGAAGAAATTAAGCCAGGAAAAGGCTTGGGAACATTAAGTACAATATGAACAATTCACAATTTACAGAAATTAAGATTATTCACTTAAAAATTTTAATCCCTCACCATTAAAGGTATAATTCACAGGCTAGTGAGCCCTTTTCTCCTTCCCAAACTAAAATCCCAAGAGCATTAGGAAATCAGCCTTTAAGTGATTCACACTATTTTTGTCCTGTGTAGATACTAAAAGCAATAATTATATCAACACATGCAATATGGGATTCTGTTCTTCATAGTAAGACAAGGAATTCATTTTAAAACCTCATTAAATTTCTAAGCATTCTACTTAACATTATCTGAAAAAATGCTATTGTAGAAAACTGTACTTTGTAGAAAGCTGGGTGTGGTGGCACAAGTCTGTAATTCTGGCACCAGAGAAGCAGATGCTGCAGGATTTGAGGAAAGCCTGGTCTGCACAGCAAATTCAAGGCCAACAGCCTTGAACAAACAAAATTAACAACAAAAACAGAAAGGAAGGAAGGAAGGAAGGAAGGAAGGAAAAGAAAGGAAAAAAGAAAAGCACAGAACTCTTTTTCGAACTGGAAAGGCAAGAAATTAACATGGTAATATTTATAGCAGTGTTACTCAAAATGTGCCTCTTGTGACACATTTGTTATTGGCAGGTGATCAACTCCAAAAGAATTAGAAATTTTTCCAAGTTTGTTATGGCTGCATAAATTATTATTATATTTCATTTTAGTATTGATGTACATCAATTGACTTAAAATAATCCTTTGTCAGAAAACAGTTAAGTGCTACTTTAAAACATACTGCCCACCTTCTTTAATGAGGTTATTTTCCTAAATAGTATGAAAACATTAAGTTATGAAGATGGTAACAAAGACAAGACATTAAATAGAAATACCAAACAGCTGTCTTTTACCTCAAACCAAGGCCTGTGAGCTAATTCTGGCCTACTATTTGATTTTACAATGAAGTTTTATTGGAGCAGAGGCATACTTGTTTAAATGTTGTACTTAGCATCCGTTATGCATTCTATCAGTTAAATTTGGAGTACCAAACATTTTTTTCTGTCTGTCTGTCTGTAGCATGCACTACTGTATGTGGACATCAGGATGTTAGGTGTCTTGTTCTATCACTAAAAATATAAGAACTTGAGTTCAGACCCATCTTTTACATGAGTGTAGATCTGAACTCAAGTTCTTATATTTGTGAAGCAAGTACTCTTATCTGCTGAGCCATCTCTCTGGCCTCCCCCCAATTATACATTCTTATTTGTGATCTCACCATAAGAAAAAGTATCTGGCAGAGGTACACCATGGCCAGCTAACTCTTGAAATGTCCAGAATTTATTAACACAATTCAAGATAGCTTGAGGTCGGTTCATCAATCGGCACCCCATCTTCTCTAGGTGTCGCAGAACAGTGACATCACTGTCACTCTGCACCCATGGGGTTGGAACTCTCACTACCACCACCTGGGGGTAGGCAGAGATTAGCTCTCCATTGATCCGCAGACCTGAAAAACATAATAATGAAGCTAAAACCACTGAAAGGAGTATGCAATAAAAAAGAAGACATGGCAGCTCAATCTTGTAACCCTATCACTCATGAGTCAGCAGCAGGAGAATCTCTAGGAGTTTAAGGCCAGGACTAGAATGAGATCCTGGTTTTTTTGTTTGTTTGTTTGTTTGTTTTGTTTTGTTTTTTATAATTTAAAAAATAATAGATTCAATACAATACCAACCAAAATCTCCATCTCATTCTTCACAAAAATAGAAAAAACCTATCCTAAAACTCATATAGACCCACAAAACAAAAATGTTCATTGTCCCTACCAATTAGGGAAATACAAATCAAAACACTAAGATTATTTTTTTTCTTACTAAAGTCAGGATGGCATATATCAACAAAACAATGGTGGTCAACAACTGCTGGAGAAGCATTGTGAATTCTCAAAAAGCAAAGAACCAAATCTCCCATATGGCTCACTCCACTGATGCCTGCTCAGCCTGGTTCACTGTTGCTCTAATCATAATAATTCGAAAATGGAAATTAATCTGAATGGATAATGAAAATATGGTACACTACACTGTGGAATGCTGTTCTGCTGTAAAAAAACAAATGAAACCATGAACTTTGTAGGAAAAGAAATGAACATATTGATAGTCAGGCGTTGGTGGTGCACTCCTTTAATCCCAGCACTCGGGAGTCAGGTATCTGTGAGTTCAAGACCAGCCTTGTCTACAGAGCTAGTTCCAGGACAGGCTCCAGAGCAATACAGAGAAACCCTGTCTTGAAAAACAAAAACAAACAAACAAACAAAGACCATATTGAGAAAGCACTGTATCTTCTCTCTTGTCTGAGGCTTCTAGCTCCAAGTCCAAATGTGACTACATTTCCTAGAGTAACTTCAGAGATCAGAAAAGGAAAAAGGGTCACTGCCATAGTGGAGGGTGGGGTAATAGTAGAGGACAGATGATTGGATCCAGTATATGGGAAAAACAGGGTGGGGGCTCTAATTAGGAAAAAAGGAAGATAGTAACAGTAGAAAGAGAGATGAGGGTAAAATAATGGTTAAGGATGTCTGAAAAATCCACAAGGAATCATACTATTAGTGATCTAAGAAAATGCTCAGTCCTAGAGCCAAAGACTACCTAGTAAAAAGCCTACCTAATTAACACCAGGCATGAGAATCCCTCTTCTGAGTTGTTGGCCAGGGTTGTCCAAGAGACCCCAAATCAATTATAGGCTACTGCTATTTATTGCCCTTGTTGCTTCCTAGAGGCAAGTCCTCATTGCTGGAAGACACCAAGACAGAGTCAAGAGGCTCCTGAATTGGAACAGGCCAGAAAGCTCCCTTCCTGAGGACCAGCATTCATGATACCAGAAGGTGTCCAAGGGAGGGAAGCTCCCAAGAGAGGCAGGCAAGCAGTTTTACCCAAATATGACACCTATGAACAACAATGACTAGCATGGCACAATAATACTAAGAGAACAATGGCACATATACTTTGGTGGTAACTAACAGCTCTCTAATTAACTTAAGGTTCACTCAACAAAGGGGAAGAAGTCATCTCTGGTACCAGAAACCTAGCTAACTACTCAAGGCTAGTAAAATCATGGGTCTTGCAGGACAGTTTACAACCTGCTACTTTACTAAGTCAGCATAATCCTTAACAATAATTTATAAACACTTGTCTACATACCCACAGATAAGTGAAGTCTTTACCCTTCATCAAGGAACTTTTATTTGCAACAGACAGAGACCATTATAGAAAACCACAAGCAATCAAACTAAAGCGCTGTGGAGCCCAGTTCCAATGGATGCATCTATCTATAAAACAACTCTGACAGAGAGATTTTAAGAGCCAAAGGATCAAGAAGTTTGCTGTGAGATTGTCTTCTAGTAATGTCAGAAACCCATTAAGTTTCACCACCATGACTGCCTAAACATGAGCTGAATAAGGACAATAGCAATAGGCATGCTACTATGAACAGGAGAAATCCCTAGAGACTTCAACCCTAAACAAAGAACTATAGGCAACTAAAGAATTTTGAGAACCAGAGAAATAGTCTTCCCCAGGAAGTGTACATTAATTAGTTTCCAACACCAATGGTCAGCACTAAAAACACATAAAAGTAACATTCTATAGACTGAGTATTTCATGTATTTAGGAGTACGTATGTATACACACACACACACACATACATGTACTAATAATTAATGAAAAGAGGACACAAACTTGAAAGATCAGGGAAGGATATGAGGGTTTGGAGGGAGGTAAGAGAAGAAGGAATGATGTAATTATATTATAACCTCAAACTTAAATACTATTTTTAAATGCAAAAAGGTAATAATAATATAAAGGAACAATAAAATACCAAAGCAAGCCAGATGCACACCTTTAATCCTATCGCTTGGGAGACAAAGGCCAGCCTGCTCTACTGAGTGAGTTCAAGAACAGCCAGGTGACACAGAGAAACCTTGTCTGGAACAACCAAAATAAATACATAAAAATAAAATACCAAACCTTATACCTCATAACCAAATGCACTGTGTTGTTAATACTGGATTGGGACAGAGACATTCTTCTCTAAGAAAAGCAAAAATTCTAAACTGACTTATTAACTAAATTATACATGACAGTGTAATATACACTACCATTTAAAGAGATAGTATAATAAATATATTTACATTCAGAAATTAAAAAGTACAAATATATAAGGAACTGTTATGGGGAAATTTGAGAATAAGTTTTTTACATATTTTTTATAGACAAAATACAAAATTTTTGAAAGAATAAATGACTGGGATAACTTCCAATGGTGACTGGGTGACAAAGTAGAATAGGGAATTTCACACTGTACTTTATGTAATTTTCTTTTTACTCTGTGTTCTGTGTGGGTTTTTAAAACAAATTCATCTGCTTCTATGATGAATTTTAAAATTGAATTTAGGAAGGCAGTAATATAGGAAAAAGGTTTTTATATGAATTACTCCTTAAAATCTTTGATTTTAAAATAGCACATGTTGCTTAAAACACTCAAATATAAAATGTCAGGATCATTTTACCTTCCACAAACCACCCTGGGTACTGTTCCATGATCATCTAAATATATATAAAATTAATACTTTTTTGAAAAATCAGATTTTGGCAATATAAATGTCTCCCATCACTTAAAATTACACTAAATGTCTCCCAACACTAGAGGTTTTAGTCTCAGCTTTTTTTTTCAGTGGCTGAATTTAACATGTCATGATTAGTACCTTTCTGAACAACTTTTCATCCTATAAATATTAAGTAGTTATTACATACTACAATTCTTCCCCAAATTCTCAGTATAAATGTGGTTTTCTTTCCTCTCAGGAGTTCATTCCAGGGCTGGAGAGATGGCTCAGAGGTTAACAGCACTGACTGTTCTTCCAGAGGTCCTGAATTCAACTCCCAGCAACCACATGGTGGCTCACAACTGTCTATAATGAGATCTAGTGCCCTCTTCTGGCACAAGACAGAATGTTGTATACATAATAAATAAATAAATCTTAAAAAAATAGTTCATTCCAGTGGGGGGTTAAAATACATTACATGGTCCATTTTATGGTATTCTTTTAGTTATGGTAGTATATTTTGATACAGGCCAGTGAAGTGGCACCAACAACAAGATTAGGGTAAAAGCCTTGAGTAATATTTATGTGTTTAAAGAAAAGATACTGTGAGTGCAAGTCAGAGCCAGAAATCACAAGCAAAAACCAAGAACAGGTCATGTGCCTCAGCTGTGATTTGTATTAGTGTAAATATAAAACTATAACTGGTAGCAAAAAAGTAAGAACACAAAATAACATTTTCTAAACTAATGAGTTCACACCGCTTGCTCTTCAGGTGCTCGCACTGAGCACTGTCTGCTCATAACCACACCTCCACACCACAAACGAATGAGATGACAAACAAATACCAACAGCCTAGAATCACCTGGTAAAACAGTCTCAATAAGGGACTGTCTGCAGGCATGTCTGTGAAGAACGATCTTAACCAGTGTGGGAACAAACAAAGATCCAGCTCACTAAGGGCAGGTGACACCATCCCCTAGGCAGAATTTCTGAGCATCGAAATCAAGCTGAGCACAAGCAAACAACTGAACATCCATGGATCCTGGATATAATTAGAAATCTGAAGTTCCTGCCTTGACTCCCATGCTGGAGTGAACATAAGCCTACCTTTCACTTAAGCTGAGGATCTTGGCTGGAGTATTTTTGTACACAAATAGAAGGGTAAAAAAATAGTTTGAAGAAAGAAAACATGTATCAGAACAAGAGTCAGGTGCCATAGAGATTCAGATTTTAAAACACTAGGAAGTTGGCCAGGCATTGGTGGCTTGCGCCTTTAATCCCAGCACTTGGGAGGCAGAGGCAGGAGGATCTCTAAGTTCCAGGCCAGCCTGGTCTACAGAGCAAGTTCCAGGACAGTTCCCAAAACAATACAGAGAAACCCTGTCTTGAAAAACCAAAACAAACAAACAAAACAACACAAACACTAGGAAACTGGGCACAGTGGCTCACACCTGTGACCCCAGCATATGGGAGGCTAAGACAGGAGAATCACCACAATCTGAGTTACATAAAAGTTCCAAGTAAGTCTAGGCTACAGTGAAATAACTATGATAATGTAAGACTTGCTATGGAAAAAGCAAAGAGCATGCAGGAGCAGACAGAAACAAACAAAAACTGGCAATACAGAAAACACTAATAAAAAAGGTAGAAACTTCACTATTCTGGACTTAGCAGAGAAAGTAATCTCAGAACTTGATAATCATGGCAATCACCTAAAAAAAGTATTTTATTTTTTAAAAAAGAGATTATTCAAAAACAATAGGATAATTCATATAGCATAAATTACATGTATTTTAAACTGGAGTATTTTAAACAATAACTATGGCGTTTTCTCAAATTAATGTCAGGTGCTATTTCAGAGCAGAAAGCTCATTTTAAAAAAACAGAAATATTAATACCATATAAATTACATCTAGGAAGACCACATGTGGTACTCCATGCTATTAATCTCATAACTGAGGGTAGAGAAAGGGTGTCAGATGTTTGAGGGCAGCCTGATGTAATAACAGCATCTAGCCTTGCCAGTATATTTGTGTTAGTGGCCATATGGACTGAAGTGGAAAGAGGGAAGCATGAGGCGTGGTCTCTGTCTCTTGGCCTTTTTCTCTTGGGTTGCTTCAATCAGAAGAACAGAGAAAAACTGTGTTGGTTCTTTATTATTGTCTGTGTTAAGTGTTTCCCAATAAACACCCATTTATCTTGGGTCTAGTGAAATCATTACACTCACACCTTCAGCCTAGTTTACAATACTCCACATTATAAGCATGCAGAATTGAGGCAGTCTGGTGTACAATACTCCACATTATAAGCACACAGAATGGAAATCTACCATTGGTTTGATGAAGGCTGTTTTCATTACCCTTTCTACCAAAAGGTCAACTGACAACAAGAGTTTGAACCCAGTATGTCAATTTTGAAAACAAGGAACTTTGCTATCAAACAGGGTGGCTTGAGATGAATCAGGGACCCTGAAGTCAAAACCACAGCCAGTAAAACTAAGAGATAAGTAAGCAAGGAAAACAAAACTAGCAGTCCAAGGACAGAAACCCACAGGCAAGTTGGGCCAAACAACTCCACTTCAGTGTAACAGTATACTGTTTTGTTGTTGTTGTTTTGTTATTAGGTATATACTGAAGAAAACGTTCCAAAGGAAAATCTTGAAGAACATTAATTTTAATAAAGAGAGAGAGAGAGAGGAGAGAGTTCTATGAAAGCTGTTTTATCACCTCCCTACAAGAGGGTGACATTTAATATAGTAGGCAAGGCTGAAGAGTTGGCTCAGCAGAAAAGAGTACTTGTTACTCTTGTAAAGGACCAAGGTTCAATTTCCAGCAAAAACATGGGATCCAATGCACTCCTCTGACCTCCACAGGAACTAGGCATGCATGTGGTACACATACATACATGCAGACAAAACACCCATGCACACAGAATAAAGTAACCTAATGTAGTGAGATATCTACTCTACCTGCTGCTCATCTGTTTCTGGTGTAAGTGATTGTTCCCCGCAATAAAAATGTATAAGACTAAAAATGGGGGCTCAATAGTTAAGAGCACTAGCTGCTCTTTCAGAGGACCTTACGAACTGAGTTCAATTCCCAGCATCCACATGGTGACTCACAACCTCTATAAGGGAAACTGATGACCTCTTCTTGCATGCATACCTGCATGCAGACAAAGCTCTCATACATTTTAAAAAAAGACAAAATGTCTGGATCCACAAGAGGTCCATGAATGAAAGATCCCTACCCAAGAAATGGCCCTGCCCACAGTTAATGTGGGGTTTAACAAATGAACTCCCAGGAATGCACATCTGGGTAATTCTAGATCCTGTGAAACTGACCATCAGACTGATGTCCAAGTCTACCTCCCAAATTTTGGTTCCTTAGCAGACATTTTTAAAGGTTAAAAAACCAAAGGCTACCACTTGGTTCATTTGTACGTTTATTTATTATATTTATTTTTGTTTGAAGGGACAGGTTCTTTCTTACTCTATAGCTCATATTGGCCTTGAACTCTGACCTCACCTCCAATGAACCACCACGCCCAGGTGAAACATTAGGACACATGTGAAACATTAGAAATACATGTATCACCAGCTAAGTCAAATCCTTTTTTTGTTTGTTTTGTTGTTTTTTGTGACAGAGTTCCTCTGTGTAACAACTCTGGCTATCCTGGCATTCTCTTTGTAGACCATGTTGGCCTCCAAGGCAGAGCTGCCTCTGCCTCCTGAGTGCTGAAATTAAAGGCATGCACACTAATGGCTTTTTAAAAATAATTATTCAATTAATGCTGCAGATATATCTAAAGGAAAGTAAAAATGACATGAGAAATAAATAATCAACAGAACTCCCATTAATTAATTATAAATTTCCTTACAAGTACTTTTAAGAAAATGGATTTAAATTTTGTAGGTAAGCAAAAAAAAAAAAATCGTATTAACAGGGTTTCTCAACACTTAGAGGAGGCAGAGAGGGGCATGGGGGCAGAGACAGGCATGGATCTAAGTTCTAGGAAAGCAAGGGCTACACAGAGAAGCCCTGTCTGTAGGAAAAATAAAAACAAAACAGAGACAAGAATTAAAGTTATATGCCACCATGCCTGGATGAAAGTGGTATTTTTATAAAAACTATGAAGTCTTTTTTTTTTTTTTTTAAGATTTCCTTTCCACTCTTTCATACATAATACAGTTTAGGAAGTACTAGTGTCCTATGTTTCTGTACACAGACTTCTTGTTGAGTGATGGTACTTAATGATAAGGCTGTTATGACTTCACTTCTCATTTCCCCAGACATTTAAACTCACCACACTCTAAGAAGAGTCTGAAAGAGCACTTGTATAGTCTTACCCAGATTGCCTTGCTCAACTGTCAACACCACCTCGTCCATCACCACGGCCCTGAAATCCAGCTCCTCCTCACAACATTTGGCCTTCAGAGCTCGTAAGATTTCCTTTTGTGGATAGTCTTCTCTGATTCGTCGATCTGTCAAAAACCACAGCTTGGCAGCCACAGAGCTACACATCTCGGATCTGCTTGCTCTTCCTTTTCTGGATTATTTCAAAGCAAAATTTTATCTAAATGGAAAAGAAAATACACATGAGACTGATAAAATCATATAGATTTATAGATTTCACAAATAAATGTTAGTTTAGTTTAGTTAACATAAAGCTAACTAAACAAACAAGAAGTGGAAAGAAACACTTCCAGCTAACCTGAGTTCTTGGGGAGATGGTGGGTGGGCAAGGGGGAAAAGACAGGATGATCAATGTCATCCTTAGCTGAAAAGAGAATTTAAGGCCAGCCTCAGTAACAAAACAAAGGGGAAGTACTATGACTTCTCCCTGATGGCATACCACTAAAAATATGAACATGATGGGAGATGTCATTCTGTATATGTTTCTCATACTGGTTAATAAATAAAGCACTGTTGGCCAATAGGAAAGGAAGATAGGAGGGACTAGGAGACAAGGAGGAAAGAGGAAGTAGTAAGGAGGAGTCGAGATGGAGAGTCTGGAGAGAGCTGGATGCCAGCCGCCTCCCCGGTAAGAGAAGGCCATGTGAAAATACATAGATCAGCAGAAATGGGTTCATAATTAAAGGCAGAGCTAGCCGATAAGAAACAAGTAACCGGGCCAACAATATTGTACTAAATACAGAGTCTCTGTATATTTGGGGCTGGCACAGCGGCAGGACAAGACCAGGCGGCGGCAGGCGGAAAAACCGTACTCGTTACATGAACATCCTGGAGAAAGATTTCTCCATCTTCCCTGGGGAAGCTGGCAGTACAATAGGTCACACAGCATACTTCCATTACAATTTTCCTATATTAATATTATGTAATTCTGACTAGGAATATACTTAATCTGATTGCCTATTTGTATTTTCTGTTTCATCCCTTCTGTTAAAATTTCAGTTCTTGGGAGCAGTAAAGATGGCTCAACAGCAGAAGACCAGGGTTTAATTCCAGCATCCAGATGCTGGCTCACACCATCCGTAACTCCAGTCCCATTCAACACCCTCTTATGACCTGGTGTCACATGTGGGCAAAGATGTACATGCAAGCAAAACACTAATATGAATAATAAATCTTTAAAAAATGTTTAATAATATACAATCTAATTTCCTTCCTGGCATAAAATGGATCATATTAAAATCAATGACAGTATTTGGGGCTGGAGAGATGGCTCAGCAATTAAGAGCACTGGCTGCTCTTCCAGGACCTGGATTCAACTCCCAGTGCCCACATGGAAGCTAACAAATGTCTGTAATACCAAGACCTGACATCCTCACACAGACATGCAGACAAAACATCAATGCACATAAAAATAAATTATTAAAAAAGTCATTGACAATATTTATCCAACTTCCCCATCACTAGGTAACTCATTAAATTTTTTTCATATGTACATTTACATTTTCTCTTGCTTTATTATTATGTAGATAATTTAAAAACCTGTATTCCTACATAAGCAAAAACTAGCATTTTAGGAGTAATTTTAATAAAAGTAAAGAATTAGAGAATGAACAAAGAGTTCTCTCTACATAATGCAAGCAAAGGCCCATGTCCATCACTGTGTGCCACTATTTCAAGGACAGTATGCTTACTCTGTGTTTGTATCCTTCTTTAAATGGAACATTTGAAACATTTTACTAAGAGTGCAAAAAAAAAAAAAAAAAAAAAAAAAAAAAAGAAAAAAGAAAAAAAGAAAAGGCCTTTCCAGAGTGCTACTTCTAAGTCTGAATCATGAGTCATCAGACAAAGTTGAGAATTGTCTTCCTGAAAAGCAACAAACAGTTTGATAATAAGAGGGAAAAGTTTAAAGTCTTTTTTAGTCAAGCAGATCTCTGTGAGTTTGAGGCTAGCCTGAGCTACACAGTGAATTCCAGGCCAGTCTGGGCTACAACATAAAACCCTGTCTGCCCCCAACCCCCAATTTTTTTTTAATAAGAAAAACCTAAAAACGTTGAGAACAGCTGCCCCTTGCCCATAGCATCATGAATATGATGGGGCTACTTCTAAACCCCCAAATCCCAGCCACATTCCTCACTTTCATCCAGAACACATCAAAATCTACAGGTGTTCAACGCCCTTATAGTAAAGTATGAATTATTCTGTGTAACCTGCATATATCCTCTCTTGTACACTTTAAGATTTATTTATTATGTGTACAGTGTTCTGCCTGCATGTGTCCTTACAGGCCAGAAGAGGGCACCAGCTCTCATTATAAGTAGTTGTGAGCCACCATATGATGCTGGAAATTGAACTCAGAACTCTGTAAGAGCAGTCAGTGCTCTTAACTACTGAACCATCTCTCCAGACCCTCCTGTACACTTTAAATCACCTCTAGATCGAATACAGTACAAGTGCAAGTAAATACTTGTACTGTTCAAAAAGAAAAAAACATGTAACTGTTGGGTAAATATTCTTGGTTAGGTAATGCCAACAATACCACACCATCCCCAATTTTGGCAAATTATAAATTACAATGATCGCACCAGTTTAAGATACTTAAATCTTATTAGGAGATAACTACCTAACAGAAATACAAAATATTTTATTTTCCCCATATGGAATATCCTATACAGCCTACAAGTTACAAACTTATGTTCCCTTTGCTTGTTTTTTGCTTTGAGACAAGATCTCACTATGTAGCCAAGAGACTCTCCTTGCAAAACTTTTCAAAATGTTAGGATTACAAGCATGCCACCATGGCTAGCCAAAACAAATTTTCTAGGAAGCTTTTCTGTTTTGTTTTCATTTGTTGTTTATTTTGTGTTTGTTTCTTGGTTTTTCAGTCCTGGCTGTCCTGGAACTCACTCTGTATAGAGCAGGCTGGCCTCCAACTAAAAGATCCCTCGTCTCCAGAGTGCAGAGACTGATGAAAGGCATGCACAACCACACCCAGCTACTAAGCATAAAAATTTTTACTTTAGTCATAGTTATGGGAAAATTACAAAACAAACCTATACTGTTGTCATCTTTACTGAAGATGTTTTCCTAAGGGTTCTGTTGCACTTTCATCCCTGTGGATAACCACAAAAAGCCAAAGTGTGTACCCAACTAGGCACTATAACTAAGTTATGATCACACAGGGCTTTCAAGGTTACGTGAGAAGGTCTCACTCAGAAGGAAAGGCTACAAAGAAAAGTCACAACAGAGTAGCTCAGAGAGTCTTAGCTTCCCTTGAGGAAACAACAAATACTTGTATTCACTGTTCTTTATTCTGGAGCCATGTCAGTACCTGGTCTGACACTCAGGTTCTTGAGCCTCATCTTTTAAGGGATAATTAACTAATTTTATTGCATGATGGACTTTCCTTATGAGTGACAGTTGCTGCCCCAGCAATTATAATAAGATGCTATTGGGGAAGCAGAAACATTTTTGTCAATAATAATGTTACATGAAATAACATTTTCTCAGTGATTATAAATAAAATACTTTCCTTTAAGAAATAAAATTGGCAACCTAAATTCCACAAGTCTCTAGATAGCAGGTATTATTGAAGATGTCTGACTTTATACTTGTTGAACATCCCTACCCAAACACCTGTTATCCAGGCTAAACCCCAGAAGCAGTCTCACCACAGGTAGAAAAGAAACCCTTAGTGATGGCATCACAGGGGTGTTGCACACTCAGCTCCTGACCAAAAAAACAGTAGGTGCTTAATTATGGAGGGCATACATATACAAGTTTATATAGCTAGAAATGGTCAGTGTTACATCTCAAAGTTCTGAACCTCATTCTTGGGTCCTAGGCAGGGAAAGGGCCCATTTCTGTCTCCTTTGCTCAAGATTGTACACACCATGTTCATGGAACACTCAGAAGATTTCCTGTCTTACTGATGGCAAAGTGCCTTTACCTGCTAAAGCTGTCTCACTGACATCAATATTTACTATTTTAAAAGATAAGAGTCCTTGCAAAATTAAATGGTTACTTTTCCTAGCATTTAAAGAAGCTTGGTTATTTATCTAATAAAGTCTGTGAGAAAATACAGTGTGTAAGGTAAATGGAAAGTCAGCAAATGTCTGTAAGCTAGTAGTCTCCCTGCCTTTTACCAGAATCTCACTAAATAGCCTCCAATTAGCAATCATTCTATCTCTGTCTCCATATATTGTGAAGACAAGTGTACACCATCTCAGCCTGCCTACTCATTTCCTCTTATATTGTAAACTTGAGTCAACTAATTCCTATGACTGTCTTATTCCTTCAGAGTATCAAGGAAAACAATATATAAATACCCAATTATAAACTCTAGTGAAAAGGGTAGACTTTAAATTTAATTTTAATGTGTATGAGTGTTTGCCTGCATGTCTGTTATTGTGCACCATGTCCGTGCATGGTGCCTATGGAGGCTAGAAGTGGCAGATAACTTGAAAATAGGAGTTACAGATGGTTGTGAGCTGCCAAATAGGTGCTGGGAACCAAGCCTGGGTCTGCAAGAGTGCTGGGTACTCTTCTGTGCTGAGCCACCTAGACACTTTATTCCTAAGTTTTCCTGATGGGAGATGTCATTCTGTAAATATGTTTCTCATATTGGTTAATGAATAAAGCACTGTTGGCCAATAGGAAAGCAAGATAGGCAGGACTAGGACACAAGGAGGAGAGAGGAAGTAGTAAGGAGGCGTCAACATGGAGAGTCTGGAGAGAGCAGGACGCCAGGCGGCTCTCTGGTAAAACGAGACCACATGCAAATACATAGATTAACAGAAATGGGCTAATACTTAAGACAGAGCTAGCCGATAAGAAACAAGTAACTGGCCAACAGCATTATATCAAATACAGTGTGTTATTTGGGGCTGGTGCGGTGGTGGAACAAGACCAGTGGCGGGTGGAAAAACCTACTCCTTACATTTTCCCTTGCAAGCTCAGCATCAGCATGCCAAAAACAAACAACTGCCTACAACACAAGGTTAAAGAGATGAAGTTCTGCACTTACTCCTTTTATCACGGGTAAGTCACTGTTTCAGTGTTTAAGATTGTCTACCTACGTTATTTTTTCAAAGAAAGGATCTCAAGCTGGCCTAGACCTCAATCCACCCTACTCCTGCCCTAAATAAACACCATCCACCAGTG